ACCAGAAGCCGAGCTGGAAGATTGAGGCCCACTGCCTCAAAGATGCGCCTCAACGTGGGTTTGTCCAGTTCACTGGCTGGGCACAAGCGACTTATCTGAGGACGTGAAGATAGAGTAGAATTAGTCTTTATTGAGGCACAATTTAAAATATAACATCAGTAAAATCTGTCTACTTAAAAAACAAAAAAGCACAACAGTGTTATAGCACGCAATATTTAATGATACTTTCATCTGTTTGCAATTCCTTGTTGTCCATTCATCCATCTGGCATGCCAGCTGTTCCAGTTCAACCTAAAGGTGTTTGATGGTGAAGGCTTTGTTCCAACCAGTCAAGTTCTTCCCCACCAAACTAATCCAACCATGCCTTTATGAGACCTTGCTTTCTGCACTGGGGCAGACATGCTGGAACAGAGGAACCTCGATGCTAACTAGTCCCACAAAGCTAGAAGCGTAGTTGTCCAAACCTTCTTGGTGAGCTTAACCATGAAGATCTCATTCACCAAATACCCCAAAGCAACAGCTGTGCTCCAAACTTTACAGTTAGCACAATGCAGTCAGGCAAGTAACTGCTGTGGCATTTGCAAACCTAGACCCGTCCATTAGATTACTCACCACTTCCCCAGAGCAAGATTCCTGATTTGCTTGGAGTAACAACAAATATAAATGTCTTGTTTCTGTTCAGTTCTATAAAAGAATATCTAGACATCCAGCAGTTAATCTCATCAGTGCAGCTCAGTGTGTGAACAGGGGCTAGATTAGAGGGAAAAGATAAGTACAACTGTGTACTATCTGTATAAGAATGAAAGGTATTATAATTCTTTATGACAGTACCAAGCAGAAGCTTTAAAGCTTTAAGTTCAATCCAAGAAAAGACCCTTGAGAAAACACTGTTTCAGTTTTTAATTGGCTGGTTTCTTGATCACACACACACACACACACACACACACACACAAATTTTTTTTAGTTTTATTTTGGGGAAGCTTAACCCCTAAATAGTTGAAAATCAATTTTAAAATAGTTTTATATCAACTCCTTTAACAATATTTATGTTTTTATCTCGATTCTTAAATTAAACGAATACTTACCAGAAGAAGAGCAGCCAACGTTTGACTGTCGTTTTTAGCATGCTTCAGCGCATGCACACACTTCTCCAAGACGCCTCTTTGGGCATCAGTCAATCCGCCTTTTACATCCCCTTCTGAGCCTCCTCCACCTTCACCTCCTCCCTGCTCCTCTTTTCCAGGAGACTGGCTGTTCACGGTAGGTGTAAAGTCAGCACTGTCAGCCATTATGACCCCGGTAACTATGCGACCGAGAGAGACGTAAAGAGGAGAA